GAATATGTTTCCATAGAATCCCCAGCCTCTCTTTTGTCTCAACCAACACAAAACACTTAGGACAACGGCTGCTCGCATCCCTAGAAAGCCAACGCACTTCTGACTCTCAGGCTTCACCCATCTATACCTGGTTACAGATCATCACTGACACATTGTCCTACCTAAACCAAACTCTGCAAGTCCAGCAAATTGCTTTCTGCGCGCTTCCCTAGCGTGGCCCTTACTTGCCGAAGTTCCAATAAAAGTTTCCAGCGCGGATGTCTCCAGCTTGCCCAACTTATCCTACAAAAAGGATCCTATGAAACCCCTGCAGAATGTTCCTTTATGGGAACCCGAGGAAAATAACCACACCATGATTCCTCGGGTTTGCCTTCTGGGATCTGTGACTCCCAATTCCCTTCTGGCAGGTTTTTGCCACCGTAACCTAACTATCAACCACCCCACTTACTCCCCACCAGTCTCTTCTTCTGTGCAATGGCACTCTCACCAACATTGTACTCTCCAACATGTCTAGCCCGTGTTTATTAGTCACCATAGTTCCACAACTCACTCTCTATAGCAACTCTGAAGTAAACCCATCCTTAACCCTCTAAAATGTGGAAAATGGGCTGCATTCCCTCCGTTAGTGATAGGCATTTCATTAACGGCCTCAGCGGCAAGTGCAGGGTTATGGGGAGGTGGGGGGCCTTAGGTCATTCCCTATGGGCTGTCAAGGATATTAATTCGAAACTTGAAGGAGCACTTACTTCCACAGCAGAATCTCCAATATCCTTACAAAAACAGGTCACCTCATTGGCACAAGTCACCCTTCAGAATCGCAGGGCCCTAGGTTTACTCACTGCCGAGAAGGGCGGAACCTGTCTTTTCCTCAGGGAAGAGTGCTGTTATTATGTCAACGAATCGGTCTTGTAGAAGACAATGTGGTTAAGCTCACTGACCTGGCAGCCACCTTAAGGACCCCAACCTTTTCTCTTCCTTAATGTCTACTCCCCTTCTGGCATGGGAATGCCTATCCTTGGACCACTATGTGTAATCTTTTAATGTGTCTATTTTTCCATGAATTATAAAGTTCATTCAAACTCAAGTAGGTAAAATCTCTCACCAAACTTTTAACCAGTTTCTACTTAGAAATTATCAGCTTCTGGCCACAGATGAATTAGCCGCCTTCTCCAGAGAACACCCCTCAATGCTAAAAACCCTTCAAAGCTTCCTGGGATGCCTTCTTGAGAGCGATATCTGATGAGGCCTGGCTCGTACCCGCCGTAGAGACTTATACCGCCTGGACTGAAGTGATGATGGACCTTTGGCTACAGGGAACATTTTGTGATGTCACATCTGACCTTATACCAATCTTGGCAGCTCTCTTGTGGGGACTCCTAACTTCCTCCTTCAGACCCCACTCAGCAGGAAGCAGCCAGAACGAATTGACGTCCCTTTCCATATAATAACAAAAAAAGGGGGAGTGTTGGGAGTCTCCCTGAGAACTCCCGGGCCTTTCAGACATGGCGCTGGGCAAATTGGCAGTGGGCAGCTAGAACTCCCCGGGCCTTTCAGATAAGGAGCCCCTAATGCAACATGGCGGCGGGCAAGTTGGCAGTGGGCGGATAACAAGCGGTTTTGAAAACCTTCTAATTGGCCCTCCACCCCGTCTTCCGTACTCGTGGACAGCTGGTGCCCCCCGTGAATCTTAGGCAGGGCGGACGTGCGTGCACCGTAGGTGATGACCTGACCTTTACTGTGATTGGCCCCGGGAGCTTCCTGGTGTAAGATGACTGACTCTCACTTTCTATATAAGCTAGCACCAGCTTGCAGTACAGCGCTTCATCTTTGTCACTGCTGTCTGTGTGTGCATTTTGATCTCCGACGACGAGCCTTGGCTTTCAAACAGGACATTTGCAGACCCAGGAGGCCGCAGATGGGCAAGCCTTGAAGCCAGTGGAGCTCCTCCTCCTGCCATTCCAGCTCCCCCACTAAGCCCTGCCTCCAGAGCACCACAGCTCCTTGCTCACGTGAGGAGTGACCGCCCTACAGGGGTCATGGGGACGGCCACCCCTTGCGAAGAGCTCATCTGAGTGTTCTAACCCCATCATTCCTTGGTCCCCACAAGTCTATGACTCACAGAGGCACAGAGGCAAGGTCATGCCAGAGGTCACTAGGATACAGAGAGCCATCATACAACACAGCATGACAAAGAGACAAAGACAGTGATGCTTTGAGGGTTTAGAAATAGAAGGGGAATCAGAGCAGCCTGGAGCGGGGGCCTCTGCGGGCCTGTCTCCCTCTGCAGCCCTGGCACAGCCGTCCTGCCCTCTGTGTCTCCTCTCCTGGACCAGAGGGTGCTCCTCCAGTGCAAGGACAGAGCCTCACCACCTCCGTGCTGCCCGGCTGCCCCAGGAGGAGCCCTGTGAGATACCTAATTATTGTTCCCCTTTTACAGGGATAAATAGGAAGATCTGTCCACGTGTCTTGATTGAGATCACAGAAGTGAGACCCCAGCCCCAGAGCCTGGCTTTGTGCTTTAGAATCTATGCCCTTTTCTCTCGATCCTGCTGTCTGGAACATCCTTTGAGCTGTGAACGGACATTATCCCCAGTTGAAGAAGTTAAGACTCAAAAAGTGGAAGTACCCTAATTTGTTCAAAAATTCAAGGCTGGTAAATAGGGAAGCCAGGTTTCAGAACCGGTTCCACCTCATTCAAAACCCCATGCTGGGTCTACTGCACAAGGGACCCCAGGCCTTGTCATAACACAGTCAGCAGGTGTTGCATGGCATTCTAGACCATTCTAGATCATTATGAACTCACCAATGGCTGTCATCACCATCCCCACTTACAGACAGAAGTGGAAGACACAGGCAGTTGAATAACTTGCACAAGGTGACATGACAGGCAAGTGGCCAAGCTGACATAAAAGCCCAGGGTTCTGGCTCCACAGTCAGTGTTCTCAGCCACCACCTGGACTGCCTGCAATGACAGCGGCAGACACTGAGCCGACTGCCACCGCGTTACTCCTGGTGTCTCCAGCAGGTCGAAGGGCTTTCAGATGGGAGGGTGTGTCAGTGAGGGTGTGTCTAGGAATGACTGACATGTGAGATAGCCAACTGAAGTGGAGACCCTCCCTAAGCATGGACAGCACCATCCAATAGGCTGGAGGCTTGGCTGAAATAAAAGTTAGAAGAACAAGGAAGCAGCAGCAGATGCAAGTTCGATTCTCCTTGAACAGGATCTTGATTGTGGCTGCCATCACCCAGGGATATCAGACGCTCTCTCTCTCACTCTTCCAAAGTGGACTCTGCTAGCGATTCTCCGGGGAGTTTCCTGAAGCCCTCTGCAACCTCTTGTTCTGAGGTTCCAGCTTCTTGGACTGCAGAGTCAAGAAGCTGGTTCCTCCAGTTCCCCAGCCTGCAGACTGGATGGCCATTGTGGACTCTCCAGCTTCTGGTCGCGAAGGCCAACCTAATAAGTTCCCTTTTGATAGTCACGCTTCCTATTCCCTGATCCTGTTCCCCTAGAGAACCCCAACTAACACAAACACCCTCCACCTGATACATACGAAGAACTAAGGGTCACAGCAGCTGGGGTATGACCATGAACCACTGCGTAATTTCCTGGCAATGGTTTCTAGAGACCTGAGCCCATGGGAGACACACACGTGGAGGGGCAGCCAGAGAGGGGTTAGGGCTCTACTCACCCACTTACCTCTTCCCAGCAGGGGTTTTCTCAGCCTGCTGCCACAGCCACCACAGACCCCTAGGGTCCTGACCAAGTGCTGCAAGGAACTTCCCGACTTCCCTCCTGACTTGACTCCAGCTGCTGCAGAACTGGGAGTGGCAAACAGCTCAGTCTCTGCCTCCTTACTAACTAGGAAAATGGGAATCCAGCCACCACCAGCCTTGAAGACCATCCGAGGGAGACAGTAGGAGCCACGTGTGAGTAGAGGCGGATGGGTGTGCCCAGCGTGGGGCTAGCTGCTAGCCCAGTTGGCACCTCCATGGACACAAGGTGCACAAAGAGCATCCCCAGGAGCACAAAGAGCATCTCTGGGGGAGCTGAAAAATGAATTCCAGGACCAGAGCCCAAGCAGACGCTGGACAGAATGGGAAAGCGGCATGAATACAGTGATCATGATAACTAACCAGACCAGTTCCACAGGACAGTCAGCCTGACCAGTGTCCCCTGGGCCACCTCACAACACTGAACTCCTCTAAACTGAGGACAATCTCTGAGCCCCGGTTTCATCAAGAATTCCCTCCAGTCCTGGGGCAGGGCAGCTAACAGGACCCAGAGGAAGGCACGTAAACCCCAGCACCCTTTCCTCCCCTGGAGGCTGTTAGTAGATGGTTTGTGCCCAGTGGGTGCCAGGGAGCCTGCAGGAGAATCCATGTCACTAAGGAGTACACACGGGCAACTGTGGAGCACCAGGAACCTGGAGCACGTCTGAATACCCCTTCTCAGGAGGAAGAGATTTGCACCCCTTGCACTGCCCACATAAGCACAGGATGCTTGGTGGGCCTGTTGCTGTTGGGCAGCAACGTATTCACTTTGGACAGGAACATCCTACTCCCACCCACTTAAGGGATGAAAGGTAACAAGGCTGCCAGGTTTGAGTGGGCCCAGAGCCACAGAAGCCACTGCTGCCGACTCGGGCTGCAGTCCACCTTGCCCACCGTGAAGCCTTACGACCTGGCAGACCCAAGTACTCCGAGATGTCTGCAGCACAAGGAGATGACAACGGACCACTGGGAAAGCCCAGGAGCAGAACCCTGGGGCTTTAGCTCAGGCCGCTTCCTCTAGTTCCTCGATTCTCCACGCGAGAGGTGCCCCATCTGCTTCAGTCTGAACACATGACCGGGGACATCAGATTCAAACTGCCAGCCGTGAACTGAGGCACTTCCTGATGCATTGCACTCATGCACGGTGGCACCATGCCCTTCACCATGGCACCCCACAGGTGACATGGCAACAAAGGCACAGGAGCGCCATGCCCGTGAAGATGACTCACCCTCTGACGGCGTGGGCACCCAGCAGCAGCTGTGGTGAGGAAGGTCCACTGAAGGGGCAGCTACACACCAGCTAGAAGCCACGTCTGCAAGGTGGCCACCTCCTGCTGAGTGCATGGGCTGCCAGCGACCAGGACACGAAGCCTCTTCTTCCCTATGGAGAAAGCAAGAGCTCGTGAGCAGAGGAGCACAGCGGGAGGCCTTCCATGTAACACCAGGTAGTCTAAGGGGCGGGCATCCGGGCCCAGAGGGGTGCTAGTACTCAGGGCACTGGGTGCTCATGAGGGGGACACTCTAGAGGGAAACACAGTCAAGGACAAGAGTGAGCTGAACTCTGAGGCAGCCCCGGGCCTTGCCGTCTCTACGCTGTGAAGAACAAGAAGAGAAAGAGATCACAGAACTGAGGGGTGAGCCTCCTGATTACCAAAAGGGACCTAGGTGTTGCTCCAGGGGGACTGTTCTGTTCCCCTCTCTCCCACTGCCCTCAAAGGTCCAGCAGGAGTAACGAGCCCACCATGGCCAGTTCTGGGTCTCGCTGTGCATCCTCCTACACCAACCCCACCCACCTCTCCTGCAAACAGCCCCTTTGTCAAGTCCTCCGCCTTTTCCCAGTTGAGGGTGCTGTTTGTGTCCTGCCAGGAGCTGACCAGTGTGTCCATGATCACACGCAATTCAACACCACGATGCTATGACCATTTGTCCCACAGCTCACCGCCGAGGACACAGGCTGGTGGGGAGCACCCCGGCACCCAGGAAGCACAACACTGTGCCCCTGGGGACCAAAACAAAGAAGTCACTTCACTCAAGAGGCGCCCTGAGCTTGGAGAAGACAGTCACACTGATGTCAATCACAGGGCACCTGAGATGTGTCATGGTGGACATGGCCCCAAGGTCCCTGCAGCAGCAAAAAGGGCCATCATCACCTGCAAGGCCCTGGAGAGGCAGGTGGAGGCCCAAGAGCTGAGGGAGGGGGACCCGAGGGAAGGGGCAGAAACCGGGGAGTGCAGGACCCCTGCCGGGCGGAAGAAGAACAGGGGTGGAAACAGAGGGTTTAGGGGAGCAGGGGGCCCTACAAAACCCCATTTCACCCAAAGCCGGCAAAACAGAGATGAAGAGTCGGTGTGTTAGGCAAGTCCCCCGCTGCGACACCCCTCCCCAACCTCAGGTGAGCGGTGCACCCCAGTGAACCTTTGACTTCCAGGGTCTAGCAGCTTGCGTCACTCAGGCCCTGCAGAAAAGCTCGATTCTTGTGGGTTTTGAAATGAGCCCAGAATATGAGAAATTGGTCACTGTGCTGTCTTAAGTGTTCTACGTGATTTTCCCCCGTAGGAGAGTGGCCGGGGAACAGATAGATCAGCAAAGCAATAATCCTCAGCACAGCCTCACAAAACCACCTCGGGGCCACAGGGAGAAAATGTACAAGGGATGCGTGACAATTCTCTGGTTGTCACAGATAGTGGTGGGCAGCAAGAGCCAAGAGAAGAGGTGGCTGGGACCCCTCCAAGGTCAGGAGCACGGGCACTGATCCTGTGCAGCCCCCTCGGTGGGGACACGGGGGACCATTTCATCCCCTGTCCGTCCACAATTGTCACAACCTGCAGAACAATATTCAGGGGTAACAGGATGAGGGGGTGAAGAAAAGACAGACAGACACAAAACAGGAAAAGTCAAGCCAACCTCGCATGGAGGAAGAGTGGCCTCAAACAAGCTCAGTGCGTTCATTGTATAGGTTTAAGCATCGAAAGGATTTAGTGGGAGAGACAGTCTTCAAGATAAACAAAACCAAAGTTAAGGGTAAAAGAGCCCAATTAAAACCGATCAGCGTGCACCCATAACTCTCCACCTCTGGGCAGCACAGGTTCGAACCTAAGGGTACAAAAAGTTCTGTGGCTGACACAGAAGTCCCCCATTAACAGGGCATCGCAATAGACACTGGGCGATCTCATCAGCACCTTTGCACTGAGAAGTTCCCAAGAGAGGTGCTCC